AATATCACAGCACCCCGTGCCTTCTTTTGCCCTCTCCCGTACAATGGCAGCCGCGCGCAGCTGGGAATCCCCCAGCCGCCCCCCCCCCCGCTCTCTTTTGGGCGCGGGAAGGCGGGTGAGAACGGATATGCTACCCCTCGATGGCGACTCCTTTCTGAACGCGGCTCAGGCCTCTCCTTTCAGCAGCCCCGATCTCCATCGGGGTTCTTCAGGGCCGAAGCCGCACATGTGTGCTCTCTTGGCCCCGCCCCATCCCGGTTGCATGGAGGCTGGGGAAAAGAAAGAAGACACAGCTTTAAAATGCGTCAGGGTTAATGCCACCCGTGACTCGGTGGCCTAACCACCATCTAAGAATTTAGTTCTCTCTCTTCTTCCCCACCCGGTTCTTCATACAAAAAAGTTGGGAAGATAAGGAGCATCTGTTTTATGAAAAAGAAAGTGATGTCAAAACGTAGTGTGGGTCTAGCCAGTTCAGCATTACAAAGCACATGTTGTGCTGCCGACCTGGGGTCCATCTCTTTCCTCAGTTCAGTTCATGACTCTGGCATGGCATCAGAGACTCTGGGCTGGCACATATGATGTGTGCATGTATATGCACATAACAAAGCTTCATTTCCCAGTATTCTGTTCAGCTTTAGTGCCACCAAGAAATGTGTAGCTAGAAGTGGATTTTGTTTTTACACTGGAGTTTCTAAAGGCATCTTTTAGGTTTGATCTCCATTCCAGTTGTGGCCCTAAGTGACCTCTTCAGTTACTCCAATTTAGATAGATAAATTTGGAGTGTAAAGCCTGTATGCCATCCCTGATTGGCTGCCTGATTGTATCTGAGACTCCTATATACACATGTGCATGCACGCACACAGATATGCACATCTATTTCAGTTGTGCTCTTTTTTTCATAAAATATATGGGACTTTGAAAAGGGTTGTATACTTCACCAGAAGTGAACAGTCTGTAGATAATGAGGTAACATTTAATTGTTAAAAAGTATTTAAAAATAATTTATAGTATCTGTTTATGAATTCAGACAATTAAAATGCTTTTGATTACAATATATGTAAAAGCTTATTAGCACTCACAACTACACTTTTTAGTTTTTCAAGCTTATCAGAAATGGATTCAAGGATAGAGAGTTGACATCAAATTAATTGATATCCCTATACATCTGTTTTTATTTCAATAGGTAGAAATAAAATGGCAAAATAAAGTATTTGTTAATAGAGTGAGATTGTGGGAGTACTGCTGCTCTGTTGAGACTGCAGTCCTGTATGTGTGTGTGTACTTGAGAGTGAATGAAAATGTATAGGTTGTTGGAAGCTTGCCAGTTTATCAAAGGAGGAGACTTAAAAATACAAATGAAAAGGATTGTTTTGCTCAGTAGACATCTCTGTAAAGGAAAGGAGTGTATGTTCCTGCCTTGTTTCCCAATTTTTGTTACTTGAACTTTACCTGGGTATTACTCACTTTTCTAAAAGCTATCGCAGATCTAAAGGTTTATCCAATTACTGCATCATTTCAGTAATGCAAAGTTTCTTTCATGTATGGAAAACTTTTTATCCTTACACAAAGATTAAAATCCAGTATTTTAATTCCATGTTCACAACTCAATACAGTTTCCATTATACTTAAGTCTCAAATAGTCAATATATTGCCCTCCAGGTACTGTTGGCTACAGTTCTCAGAGCTCTGGGCTACTAAGACTAGATGATACTGTGAATTGGCATTCTTTACAGAACAATTAATTAGTGCTTGATTTCAAGGTATTTTATTTCCCCAGTGATGTCTAGTTTAACCAGGAATGATTTATTTTTTCTTTGAAAACCTTACTTGATGCTACTTCTCTGGGGAAATCTGAAACTTGTAAAATGTTCTAGAGGACTCTGATGATCTGCAGAGTGGGTGCAGGGCCTGAAAAAGTATACATATTATATCAAGAAGGCAGGTAGTCTTATTCTAACATGTTGACTTTTATATCAGTTCTGTTTTCTATATCATTTATTCACAATGTTTTTTTAAGATATAAGCCCTTAAATCATTTTGATGACACCATTGTTATACATTATAACATTTTATAAATGGTATGAACATAAAGTTGAAAGCTGTGTATTTGTATTTTTTTATTTTGTTGTTTTATTGTGTGATGCTGCTTTAATGTTAAAGGTGGTATAATTATTATAACTCCTGACATGATTCTTTTCACATAATTCACAAACATGCACAAACCATAATTTGCTGTGATGTCTGATTCAGGGAAACAACATTTTGGGCAAGTAGGTTTTCTTTAAATCAGAATTGAAAACTTATTTCAAGTTGTGGTTTCCAGTTCTGGTTTGGAGCCAAACTACCAAACTAGAAAAGGCACTGGAATGAGCAAGATGTGGAATCAGAGGAGCCTGAATTGTGTTCCTAACAGCCAAACTGAGTTTGGAAGATACGTCTGAAGCAGATAAATGTGTTTATACCTTTTAGCTTAGAGATAAAATTTCAAATGAGATTTGAAGTTTGGTGTGTTTGAAGCAATGCGTATGAACTTTTATATATGTTGATCTAAGGTCTCTGAAATCAGATATTGTAATTTTTATTGGGTGTTTGGGGAACTAGAAAGTAGAATTCTTGTTTTTTCTATAGATTTTAATTCAAAACATAGTAAATTATACATGAGTTTAAGAGCTGGAGCTGCAAGTCAGAGATAGTTTAGAGTTTAGAATTTTAATTCTAAACATATGGGAGCTGAGAAGTAGGATTGCAGTGATCAATGCAGAGGGACATGGAAAAAAGGGGTCTTGTATACCTGTGGTGAACAGTAGCAGGAGGAGACTATGACTACTAAAGAGAAGGGAATACACATGGGGAATTAATAGGTTCAGAGAGAGAAGTGATGATTCAGTTATAGAGGAAGAAAAAGGAAGTTAACCAAGAACTCATAAAACAGATAATGTTGCAGAAAGACTTTCTTTACTATTACTAAAGCAAGGCACCCTCCTAAATTGGAAAAAGATAACTGGATTTGAGTATTTTGAATTGTGCCTAAGTACTATTAGTAAGATAGTTGTTATAAAATGCATTGCCTGTTAATTCATCATGACTATTAGATTAAATCAATATTTATTGTAGTCACTGACCACCAGGCATGATGAACATAGATGTTTGCTCAGCGGAAATGAAGGCTCTTTATATTAGCTTGATTTTAATGAGATAAAGGTGACTGTTAGGCTTGAGTTTGGATTGTGTTGGCAGATATAGCAATTCAGCACTCTTTTCACAGTGTATAAAGGCATGAGGATTCTGTGTTCATACCCCTGACAACTTGAATATGCTTTTGTTTTATATCTCTTGTAAAATTCTTATTTAATAGCCAGACTATTTTAACTCTTTACAGGAAGGTCCTCAAAGGAAGAAGAGGAAATCTGAAGTTGTAGAAGCAGGTGAACAGTTAGATCTTTTGGCTATTGGTACTGCTGTTGGCAGCATTTTATTATACAGCACAGTGAAAGGAGAATTACAGAATAAACTAGTAAGTATGACTTGCAGCAACATTATTTTTCTGTTAAGAGACATTTTACTTAAAGTTGTTAAAGATTAGCTGGAGTATGCAATGTTTTTTCTCAGTCTGGGGACAGCAGGGTAATTTTTTTTTTATCTCTCTGAGGGCTGCAGAGTGGTGGTGTTAGACATTAGCAAAGTGGTTCAAGTTACTTGTTTCACAGATTTTATAGTCCTCCCAGCTCAAAACATGCTGTGAGTGTTACAACAATGTAAAAAAGATGCTCAGACATATTTTTCTGTTTGGGAAAAGTAAGGAGGCGTAAGAAGTAAAACTGGTGCTGTCAGAAATACAGCAGCTTAAGGTACTGGATTTGCCTCTTAAAACCTTTCTATGTGGTAAAAAAAAAAAATGGCCTAGTTTGGGAGGGGGATTTCAGGAGTTTTAAAGAGGGCACTGAGGGCCTTAAACATCTAATGTACCCATGTCCTTATGTTCTTACATTTATTTTACTTGAAATTGTAGTTTGTTTCTTACTTGAATTTTGGGGAATATATTATTTTGATATCTGGAGAAGACTGCAGTGTTTATGAAATATTATTAAATAGTACTCGTGGAATTAGAATAACTGCTCAAAACAAAATAATGAAAACTGTAGCATGATTATCTTTTAAATGACGTATATGTTGTATTAACTTTTAAAACAGAAATTGTAGCTTGGATATTTATTGGGCTTTTAAAGATGTCAATGTAGTTAAATTAATAACTCTTTCAGAAAAAATTCTAATTTAGTATTTTTGGGAGAGGAAGGGAAGAATGTCCATCCCTGAGTGCATGATTGAAAATACATTTTTTAAGAAAATGTAGTACAGGTAGTCTTCGTTTAGTGACCACAAATGGGATGTGCAGCCATTTGTTAAGTGAAGCAGTCACTGAGTGAAACTGCCTGTGCTTATGATCTTACTTCAACTTTCCTTTGCTTTACAGACCTGTGAAGGTCATACATGCGAGGATTGGTGGTAAAATTACTTTTTCATCACTGTCGTAACTGCGAACAGTTGCTAAACAAGGCAGTCACTAAACAAGGACTGCCTGTAAATGATAATATGCCCCAAGGTTCTGCTTTGTGATCAATGTTTTAAATATATATCAAATTGTTTAGGAAACAATGGTGGCAGGAGTGATCACATGTACAAATAAATGAGGGTAGAATTTTGAAACAAAAAACAAACACTAAACCTTAGAGCAGAGTACCCATAAGTATCCTTTGACATGGTTATCATATAATACTATAAAACATTTTGGCCACGCACAAGATAAATTAGTTTGATGAAAGTATCATGATATTTGCTGATATCTTTTCTTTTTACCTAGAATGGGCATGATAATAAAATAAACTGCGTACGGTGGCATCAGGACAATGGTTGTTTATATAGCTGTTCAGATGATAAACATATTGTGGAATGGAACATACAGACTTGTAAAGTGAAATGGTGAGTCTGCCCTAGTACATAAAGTTTTTGGAATTCCTATTTTGCTATCATCAGATCAGTTTAACTTAAGTAGACTTGAGTAAGATATAAAGAATGGGTAAGGTTTTTTTTTCTTCTCCAAATCTTAAAATGAAGATTGCTTATTTGTTAAATAATATTAAAAGCAAATTTACAATAACAATGAGAGAAGAAAATTACAGATATCAGGAAGAAACACTGTCTCAAACATACAGCATTCCCACCAGGAGACCACCTCTCAATGTAACCCAAGTGCTGGGTTAAGAACCAGGTTTTAAGAGCTCACTTGAACAAGGCCAGGTTAGGGGCAGTACAAACCTCTGGGGGGATGCTGTTACAGAGGCAGGTATGGTGACAGAGAAGATCTGCTTCCAAAGTCCCGTCAGGTAACAGCTTAATTGAAGACCCTAGAACATGCCAACTCTGTTGGATCAAACAGGATGGGCAAACACTATGGGAGACAGACAGTTCCTCAGAATTGTTGAAATAAGCTAAAATCAGGAAAGAAATAAAAAGGAAGAACTTCACACCAGATGCTAACTCATGACATCTGCCATCACCAAAGGAAATTATGGCTCCTAAGATAGCCGTCTTTCAAAGGAGATTATTTATGGAAGATAGGCGTATCTGTGGTTACCATAGTTATAATGGCTTTGTATTATCTCCAGTAAAGGAGTCAGGTGACCTCTCAATACTGTATGATGGACAACATGAGTGAGAAGGTGCTTTGAATATGTCTCCTGCTTTGCTTCTCCTTGTTATCTGGAGATGGAGTGCTGATCTATAGCTCTTGTTATACTCTTATATAAATTCTGTTTAGTGCCATACTTGGCCTATAATGTTCCTGAGAGTCAGGGACTGCCAAGTAGGGGTGGAATTTTTGTTAAAAGGGCATTCTACTTATTTCTTGTTGAGGAAAATAAAGTAATTTCTTCCCTGCTATGATAGATTTCCTATAAGAATTATTATACTTGGAAAGGTTAAATCAGTAACTTAGAGCAAATCTCTCTCTTCCTTCTCTAGGATCTCATCCTCTGTTTTTCTTTCCTCACACAAGAACTTTGGGTCAGGCCACAGCCAGAATTCAAAGTTCTACAGCAAACATGCTGGCTCTTCATTTTTATACATGTATCTTAAGTGGACTTCTTAGATCTGTGTGCTTAAGATTCCTTTTTTATTCAAGATAGCTAGAATTTTCATAAAAAGTCTAATTCTGAGAAGAGCTCATGATGATATTAGAAGATACTTTTAGGATTGACTATGAGTTTGTATAGTCAGTCCTAAAAACAAGTGTATTCAGTTTTATATAAGCTGAATGTTACATTTTATTTAAGCTTAATCTAACTCTGGAGCCGTTCTGATACAATTGTCTAATGCCAACAAGCTACAATTTTTGGACTGTGTGCTATGTGTTCCCTTCCTTGGCATTCCCTGGTCTTGGGTTTCGTGCTATCATATTTGAGCCATTTGCCATGCCATTGGAACTCCTGTATGGTTCTGTTTTCAGATAAATATCCATTCATTGTAAATAAGTCCATGTGCATTCTTAGATCAGATATTTCTGAATCAATATAATTTTGATTGCTTTATCATTTAAAGTGCTTGGATCCTAATTTAATTTTTATTCAGCAGCACAAATATTAGAAATGTTTCCAGTCCATGGAACAATTAACTGTAACACAGCTACATTATATCATACTGAATATGCAAGTATCATCTTGTGGGCTTCATGAATATATCTAGTACTTGATTTTTAAATCAAGGTGTAATAAATATTTGCTTATAGTTTGTCTTATAAGGGAAAATACCTTCAAGTTGCAAGAGGGGAAGGCCACATTACATTTGATATCCTTTTGAGATTTAATGTAAAATCCAGCATTATAACTTGAAGCCTTTGTTTAGTAGGTAAAGCTCATTTGTTTATGAACTTCACTTTTTGTAAGCAGTAAATGGGGGAATTTGTATAGAAACTGTTCTTCAAACTGCTGGTTATATATGAAAAATAAAACAGTGAACAAACTTCTCGCATAAATAAGCTGGCCTGTTTCATTTATTTTATTAATGTCTAAAGTGCAATCTTCAAGTACTTTCACACAAAGAATACCCTGCTGTGATGATATCCAGTTGGTTTCACTCACTTCTGATACCCAGTGAGGATGATTTCCTCTTGGCTGTCTGAGCAGGCTATCCTCAAAATTTAATAACTTGGGTAAGGAGCTAAAGCTTATCCAATAGCATACTAAGTATGTAGTAGGAAAAGTCTAGAATTAAATACATTTTTCTCAATTTCTCAATGAGTTGGATAGAATAGCTTTTAAAAGTAGCGAAAGTAGAGCAAGCATAATCCTTTTCAAATCTCTCTAGATATAAAATATAAATAACAGAAATTGAATTAAAACATTAAATAGGAAACTGGCATGTTAGGAATCCAATTACCAGGCTTTACTATCACATATATTTCCAGGAATATCTTTGGGCCCTGCAGAGCATCACCTTCAGTTAAATGGAATGGGTGTTTGTAACAGCCATTTTGTGAATAAGCATAGCTTCCAAGGCAGTCATATTGTATACATGCTCTCAAAATTACAAATGTCCTTCTTACCCAAATAGGGTAGTATACAACTAATGCAAAAGAGTTCACTGAAACATCATATTTGATTGTTTGGGGAAAATAGAAGGCAGAAATATTATGTATGCCGCCTTGAGTTATACAAAACAAAAGTAGAGTATAAATCCAATAATAAAATGAAACTAAAATAAAATAAAACAGAATTAGTGAGCATTTCCAGTTAAATGGTATAGTGGGAGTAGATAACATCATTTGTATTATCCCTAGATAGTGCCTGAGAAACCTGGGGAAAGAAACCTTCAAAAACAACCAGAATCATTTGAGAAAAGCAAATCATGTGATGTTTGTACTGCTTATTTATTTGTGTGCCTCCTCACCTAGCAATTCTAGCTGGCTTACATAATAAACCTGGCACATCAGAAATAGAAACTTCAGTAGAATGTTGCCACAAATCATGTTGTCCCCTCTGCTTCAAAGGCTGCCTGAAAAAGCCTTCCTACATGATTACAGGGAAGGGCTATTCTAATAACAGGCAGTTTGCGACCAACAGTGCCTCCTTCTGGACTTGCATAACATTCTAGAAGAATGGAGGAATTTCAGTATACCCTCTAAAGCCTGCATCTGTTGGGTAGGCCATTTCTACCTGCTGCAGGCAGTACAGCATAAAGGGCATAATAGGTAATAACCAGCATGTTGAACTGGACTGAGAAGTCTGGTGGTAGCCAATGCAGCTCCCATAGTATTGGTGTTATTCTGCAGAACTGGTTTTCACCAATTAGCAAGCAATACTGCAATATAAAACTCTTTAATTCGTTGGGAAATTATGGGTTTAATTACCAGCCCAGTATCTCTGAATATTTGGGTATTAAGGTTTGTAGTAGAAAAACAGTTTGATGTAGTGCTTAAAGGCACCAGACTAGAAACCAAAGGGCGGTGAGTTCTACAGGTAGTCCTTGGGTTACAAACCACCCATTCAATGACCATTCAAAGTCACAACAGCTGAACGAGGGGGACTTATGAGTGGTCTGTTGAGTCCATCACAGCAGTGAACGCGATGTGGGCGCTTGGCAACCAGCTTGCAATTGTGATGGTTGCCGCATCCCAGTCATGTGATCACCATTCGTGACCTCTGCTGGCTTCCCACAAGCAAAGTCAATGGGGAAACTGGCAGGAGGTTGCAAGCAGCTCCCACTCCTGCCACTTTTTCACCCACCTGTCTACCTGCATCACCTGTGCACCCACCTGTGCTCTGTAGTGCCTGCCCATGGCACCTATGTACTCGCACTCCATAGTGCCAGCCCATTCCTGCATCTTCCCACATCGCGGTCACATGAGGTCCTTGCTTAATGATCCCTGCAGTCCTGGGGTTACCATGGCAACCAGGACTTCTGGGATTACCATTGCTAAGCAATGCAGTCACATGACAAAATGCTTTATGACCACATCGCATAGCGATGGAAATTCTTCTCCCAATTGCCATCATAACCTAAGGACTACCTGTAGTCCTGCCTTAGGCACAAAGCTAGCCAGCTCGGTGACTTTGGGCCAGTCACTCTCAGCCCCAGGAAGAGGGCAGTGGCAAAACACTTCCAAAATGTTTCCAAGAAAACTTCATGGACTTGTCCAGGCAGTTGCCAGGAGTCAAGATTGACTCAGATGCCTGCATGCATGGGCACACACAAGCACACAAACATTTATATTAATAACAAGGGTCTGGTCTCACCTTATTGCCTATAGAGATGAATTTTCTGGAGATTAGATGTTATATTAAACTTTAGTGATATATCTGTAGTAATATATATTGGATTGGATTCAGACTTTGTCATCAAATCAAGAGGCTTTTTTCCATCCATGAAAAGGTTGATTGGAGGGGTCATTTTTGCCCTAGAGAACCATATCTCACACTATTCCAGAATTTTTGGAACAAGTAGAAGGAGTTGGCAAAACATTTTCCTACCTTCCACCAGCAGAAACATAGTTTGAATCTGATTGTATTTTGTATTACGTATGAGTTATTTTAAAAGAGTGCTTGTTGTCTGCACTGAAACTTAGGAGACTTTATTGTTTCCAAATTAAGCATCACCAGAAATGTTAGAATAGATGTGGGTGCATAAGCTATGTCGGTCACTTGTAATAACCAAGATGCATACCCTTTTTGGTTATAAGCTGTATACCAGAGGTTGAAATGTTTCAGATGCCTGTAGAATTTATGCAGTTTCGAGATGTTTTATAATATTTCAGTAATGAATCTGACTTTATTCATTTCTGTGAGAGCTACATTAACTTTTTTTATCAGTTGACAAAAACAACTACACAATAGTTAAATACACATTCAGAGATTTCAGCTCTTTTTAAAATGATCTATTGACAGTAAATCTCTCATTATGTTGCATGAGTACATCTACAGTTTCCTTAAAAATATAAATGTCAAGGCCTATATACTGGTTATTTATATTTTATTTTCATTTAACTTAATTATATTTCATTTCATCTTAACATATACCTTCACTCTTTGGTTGAAGTTTTCTGGCTGCTCAGAAGTTGCCCATCTAAGGAATGTTTGGGTTTAGATTCTAAATTAAAGTCTTAGTGATTCAGGATATTGAAAGTCTTATTTTTCATATCTTAAAAATTTCCTGTATCTTATAGAATTCTATATATTTATATTTTTTTATTTCTTTTTGTCTGGTTTGCTAAATAAGTCTGAATTAATTTTTAATTTATTCTTCTCAAATTTCCTAGCAAATGGAAAGGAGATAACAGCAGTGTGAGCTCACTGTGCATCAGTCCTGATGGAAAAGTATTACTTTCAGCAGGTCGAACTATCAAACTGTGGGACTTGGAGACCAAAGAAGTCTATAGAGTATGTATTTGGGGACATGGTGAACCTAAATGTTGTTAACTCCTTAATGATTGCTTTACCTCATCTTGTTTAATAATATAATTCGCATAGTTGGAGATTGCTGGACAGTTTGCTGTGATGATACTTTTAAAATGTGGTTTCAGCTGGCTGACAGTTGAATGAGGACATGAAATTCCTTGGCTGTGTCTGAGCACTGCCAGCAGCCGTACTTGGCAACGTTAATCCTCATGCTGTATACATCCCATGGATGATGTCTGGTCTGGTGTCTGTTAATTTTGAAAGCATTACTGATTCTTGAACCCACTAGAAAAGATCATTATTTTTATCGTTACAGTACTTTTATGATGGTAAATGGGTATGGGTATAGTGTTATCTGGGGGATCCAAATGGTGTGACTAAATGAAACATTTTGTGAAATATGTCTTCTCTTCAGCTACTTAAAATTATTTAACATGTTACCTACTATGACTGTATACTTTTTATTATGAATAGTCACTTTCTGAAATGATGTAGCATTACAGTGTTGGCCTAATCTGCGAATGAAAATTGCTCTTTTCCCAAATGAAAAAAATCTTGTTTCCTGCAGCTTTTTTTTATGTTGAAATATTTGTTCTTGTTAAAAAATAAGAGGGTCCTAATATTCTTCATCACAGTCCATAATGTTGACATACTTTTTGCAGTTATGTTCTTTAGGCAATCATAATATTTAATAAGAAAAATTATATATCAATACTGTATTTACTGTACTTATGCCATAACATAAACAATAAATATCCACAATTGGGGTCTGCAATAAATATTGTTAATTTTTCATGGTATACTCAATATTATACACATTTTAAAAAATTGGGGAAATTGGTAATGCTCCCCCCCTCCCAAAAGCCACAAAAAATCTATTAATTTTCATTAGGGCACACTTTATTTGTGGTGTACCTAGAACTGATTACAGCAGAGGAAAAGATACTACAACACCACGTTGTATAGCAAAATTGTAGAATAGCCATATTAAATGCATTTCCCAAAGGTTGCAGTCCAAGACCATATAGGTTTCCATTCACACATCTAAAACTCATGGATCCAGCTATAGCTTCCTAATCCTCCTTCATGGATCTTCCTATGCATGTAAGATGCCATGACAAATACCGATCTCGCAGAATCGTAATTGTTTCCAGTTATCTTTGGCTCTCATATGAAAATACAGAATATAGAGATTTCACACTCTATTACACTCTCCCAACAAATGTGCTTTTCCCAGTTTTAAAGAAATATTCATTGCAAAGTAACTGATGCAGTTTCAGATCAGTCTGTCAGCAGTTTTTTCCTAAGTTTGCTAGTCCTCTCTTTGTGCTTATCTATGAATAGTTAATTCTAGAAATGCTACATACATCAGGCTAATTGTACATTTGACTGTGCTTCTCTCCTCACAAGACAGTGACACAGATGGGTCAGTTCAAGAATAATAAGAATCATTTGCTATATACCACAAATTCAGTTTCAGTCATGGAAAAGCCATTTCCCATCTTAGTTTTGTTAAAGAGAGATGGAACACCAAAGGCATATATAGGTGCCCCAGTTAAAATTAAAATTGGGCTTATCCCAATTTGAATACATCTCAATTACTTTGATTTGAAGATAATCTTAAACATTTTGGAATATACTGCAGTAAGAAGTTTGATTCAATTGAATATTGATCCCATCCTCTATTTATGAATACAAAGGAATGGAAAGAGAGCTGCCTCTGTTCCAAGATAGTAGCACATCATTGGGTAAAAATGTTTGCCAGTTTCTTGTTACTCTTAGAAGTTTGGTTGATTTTTAAACCCAAACTCTGTTTAATGTTATCTTCCATGGAAACTTGAAGGAATGATTGGTACAGTGAGGTAACATCATTGAGTGATAATGACTGAATCTACTGAAATTGAGTGTTTAAAAGATGTTGCAGCTCAAAGAAGTAATTGCATTCTTTGTGGTAGAAAATAAATTATCAATTTCACTCTTCATTTATCTCAGCAGAAGACTTAAACTTCTGGTTGTGATTGCATTTAAAAAGGGTTCCCTTCCATCCATGCTGCTTTTCACCCTGAAGCTAAATTCATTCTCTACTTTTTAAAAAATGAATATCTTGTGAGACACTATTTTTGAGCTAATGGATTCTTTTTGGGATGTAGAATCTCAACTTAAGATTTTTCTATGCATTTTGAACACTGTGTCTTCCTGATCTGTCTAAATGACATTTCTTGTTCAGCATTTCACAGGACATGCTACAGCAGTGTCAATGCTTATGTTCATCACAGTTCGGCCTCCAGTTGAAAATCAACCCTTTGATGGAATTACAGGACTCTATTTCTTATCTGGAGCAATGCATGACCGGTTACTCAGTGTGTGGTATGTATTTTTTTTTTCAAACTCTTAACAATCACTATTTGATAATAACCTTTTGTCCCGAAGAAATAAAAATATGATATAAATGAGGTTTGTGGACCATTGCAGTATATAAGTATAATGTAAAATTAACTTACAGACCTTTGCAGATCACTGTAGAAAAGAATTTGTGGGGTACTCTGTGAATATTCTAAATATTGCTTTGTGATTGTTTTATTCATAGCAAGCATGAATAGCTTCGTTGAGAAGTTGAACTCTATGCATGGTGTGGATAAAGTGGACAAGGAGAAGCTATTTTCCCCTTCCCAAAATACTAGAACCAGAGGTCACCCAATGAAATTCAATCTTGGAAGAGTTAGGACAGACAAAAGAAAATAATTCTTTGCATGGTTTATGATTTGCTCATGGAATTCACTGCCACAAAATGTGGTGCTGATTACCAGCTTGGCTGGCTTTGAAAAAGGGTTGGACCAGTTCATGGATGACATGGGGATCCATAGCTGTTTGCCTTGATGGCAGTATGACTGCCTCTGAAGGCCATCTGCTTGGAGACCAGTGCGCTTTTTGTATAATTGGTTGGCCGCTGTGCGAACAGACTGCTGGACTAGATTGGCCAGAGGTCCAATCCAGCAGGGCACTGCTTACGTTCTTATGTTCTTCAAAATCATTTTTGTTCATATGCCTTTTCAATTTTTAAAAAAATGTCCTGCTTATCTCAAGGCAGGTGAGATCAGACAGGAAAGAAAAGAATGCTGTGATGAGTTTCACAGTAACAGATGAACCAATCCATATTGACTTGACGATATCAGAAAGCAAAGAACAGGTAAGAAATGTAGCTTATTTTTTCAATACTGATATTCTAATGAAATTTAATGGAAACCACTTTAGGTAAGTATCAAGGTCAATTAAAAGCTGTGCTTTTCTAAAATCTGGTTTAAAGGCTAATTAAAATAAATTACCTCAGTTTTGTGCCACCTCTAAATTTGGGTTTTCTTTTTCATAGAACCATATTTCTATTTGATCCATAATTCTTGGTATTGATTTAATGTATTGTTTACTGTTTATAGTTCTGTTAGTGATTTCTACTATGTTAACCAATACGTTCAATTTAAATAAGTATAACTATACCTTATCTTTTGTTTTCTATGTTTTTCTATATTTTTTACTTAAACCATTTTCATTTATATCATTTTAAATAAAATTTTAAAAATGGTGGAAATGAAAAGAATTGAATTATTATCTCTCTCAAACATAGTGATTTGGATCACACATAATGTCATGTCAGTGTGGTTTGTGAGTTTTTGGCTTGGTGTGATAAATAAATTATCCCAGAAAAGAATCCATAGTCCTTTTTTTAATAAATGACTCACAATCATAGTTATAGTTGGTTTATAAATTCTGGCTTTTTATGTCTGAAAAGGGAATTAGGGTTTATTTCTGTTTTTTTATCTACATTGTCAAAATCTGTCAGAAAGAATGAAGAGGAAGTTAACCAAGAGTTGCCCAGACAAGCCATAACTAGAACAATTCTTTATTGGGCTTTACATATATCCATCTAAACTGGTACTTCTGTTGAAATGAATCATGAAGAAAAGTACTTGAACTTAACCATTATGGATGTGCATGAAATAAAAAAAAATGTGTTTTGTTTCATGCTCAGAAAAAAAGTATGTTTTTTTCATGGTCACAACAAAGCTTTCAATGAACATGTGTTTTGTTCCATTTGCTGAGAACAAAAGTCTTGAAGTGTGTTTTGTTTCTTGCTTAGAATGCTCAAAATGGCTGTTGTAAGTTTGGAACATTTTGAGATAGAAATGTCTTGCACATCTCTTCTTAAAATGAGGTATCATAAGCATTTACTTTTCATCTTATTTTGATACATTGTGTTGTTTGTTAACTATTGGGCTTGCTGTACAAGTTTTTGGACTAGGGTTTAGGATCCATCACGTACAGACACGCATGGTCTCATGGATAATGCTTATTGGATAAAAACTAAAATGCATTTTACACCAAATTTCTTTTTTTCAATGGGACAAAAAGTCACCAGGACAAACAAATTAAAAATAGTGATTATAGTATGAAGAAAAAAGCTTAAATTTATTATAGTTTTTATATTTGTAAAATATATATTGTATATTTATTATAAACTAAATATGACAAAGATTAATTCAGTTGCTAGGCTTATAATTAAATCTAGACTGCATAGCAAACTCCATATTTTAGGAATATCACATCACATTGATATCCTTAATTATAATATTTTTCCCAAAATTATATTTATAGAGATGGGAAACCAGTGCAAGACTATTATAGAACAAGTCCAAATAATATGAGTTAAGGAACCTTCAAATTTCTTATATTGCTAGCATTAAAAAATCTGATATCCATTCTTTTTTAAACATTCTTTGTGAGGTCCAATAAACATGAAAAACCTTGATTGATGATGTTCATTTTTAAATTGTAAGTATATTTCACATTTTTTTAAATATGACCTGGACCCACTGATTCTCCAAAATTGGATATTCACATTTTTCATTCTACAATTGATATATATATAATATTGACTCTCTTTTCACTTTTTAATACTTCATAAAATCATTTGTTTCTGTTCAAGCACTGCATCTCTAAAGGAAGCTAAAATTGCAGGTTCCTTGGAGGCTGCTAGAGCATTGTACTATTTAATCAGTGCATGTTTTAATCGCATATGTTACCAGGTGTATATTGCAGATTAGTCAGATTCAAGATTCAAAATATTTAAAACAACTGTTAGAAGTCAGCTCGTTTAAAGTGTTTGGCTTAAACATTCCAGTGGGGGGGCACTTCTATAATACCATTAACTGGAAGGCATTCTCCTCATCCCCAAAGATGTTACAGCCCAGCTTTTTTCTTTTTTTCCTAAGTAAAGTGAGCTTACTTCCAAACAGAGCTCTAGTCAGAGATTTTGAAAAATGCCAGAGAGGGTGTATGCCAGTGGCATTCTTAGAAATAGATGATGCTGAAGGTTGGGTGCTCTGTTTTGCAGTATGAAAAGTTATCTGTTTAATGTTGTGAGACGGAGAGTCTGATGGACCCAAGAGAGGTGTCTAGATGTATTGATGGCTACAAGTATTGCACTGAAGAGTCTAGCCTTAGTTTATGCTCTTAGATTGCGTGAAGATTTTACTGAGCTGAAAATGAAAATGTTCAGCTGTTTCAAGAACTGATAAATATTTCCATGAATATGAATTTTAAAATGGGAAATTTTGATTTAAATCAGTCTCTTTTGAGGGCATTTAATATATTTAAGCTGACTTTATTTTAAATCTACTCATTCTGTTTAAGATAAATGGTTACTAGAAGTTGGATATACTAGATTATGGCCATATTTTGAATTGATGGTGAAATTATTCTTTTCAGCCAGTGAAGATAGCAGTGGTATGCAGAGATGGACAGTTGCATTTATTTGAGCAAGTCTTGAATGGGTAAGTTAGGATTTTAAAATCCACGTTGATTTCTAGCTCTAGTTATGATTCTGAGGGTGTTAGTGGTGTGCAGTCTGAAGAATTTTCTTAGTTATGATGTGATGTTTGCCTAATTTTCAGCAACACGTGTGTGTGTGTGTATTTAACCAACTGCCCATACAAATGCCTTATATGACTTATTGCATCATACAATATTAGATTGTACCCTCTTAACTGAATTTACATAGGCTTGTATCAAGCTTAGTCATACCATGGTTACTAAATATGTAATGATACTCAATTATTTCATAGTAAGCGAAATCATTGTTAGTAATAACTCAAATGTCTGATAAATATACAGTATAAATGTTGCATTGTTTATCTGTTCAACAAATTGCTTTTTTGTAGCTATTGCAAAAAGCCCTTGACATCCAAATGTACAATCCAGATAGCAACACCTGGAGAAGAAAGTGATTCTACACCAAAGCCAGTCCCTATCCTAGCAGCTGCATTTTGTTCAGATAAAGAATCATTGCTACTTGTGTATGGGAATTCCTTACAGCCTGTTATTGAGAAAGTGGTATGTACGGCTTTCTTGAATTCCAAGCAGGTATTTTAATAATGGAGAATTTTTAGTTTGAAGTTCTAAATAAAATCCATTTTCTCTAAATAACTTGCATTCTAAATAAAATTTCTTATTTTACGGGTTCTCTTCAAGAAATATTATTGGTTTCGGAGTGAAAAAAAAACATATTCTTCAACTTGCATACTTGATATATGCACAGGTTACTTGCTATTTAGTGATGATACTTTGCTAGGACTATTAAGGTATAACTAATTGTTTAAACCACTTAAATGTGCCCTGCGGAAAAAGAAAGATGCATAAAGGCATTAAAATTGTTTTTTCTCACCCTCCTTTAATAGTCTTTGAATACTACAGAAACACATATCTGCTTAATAAGGGACATTCAGAAGACCTTGACCCTGAAAAGAGAAATGGCTGTAACAAAGGTGAGATTTGAAATCCATATTTGTTCCCTAACTAGATATATCAGTTATTATGAAATGAGATGGAGTTTAAAGGGATAAAAATATAACAGTATCCCATATGTTTTTTTAAGCACAGATGTTTTGTAAATGAGTAAACATAAACTACTTTGATTGCTTTATTTCAATGATATTCAGCATATTCAGTGTTTGGTGATTGAGTTAAACATCTTGTATTGTATTAAGAATGCATACAAGATGGTTTCATGCTTACTTTACTCATATTTTGTTTACCTGCATGCTTATGTGGATGAATAAACCGGTGCTGTAAGTTAGCTACATGGCTTGTGATATGCTAATCCATGGGACAGAGAATGCTTATGGATCTTTGGATGTGCTGTGATGACCTCCTTATTGGTTTCACTTTATCACTGAATTTCTCTGATGACACCTTCTCTTGGCTGGCTGAGCACATCAAATGGGTAGAATAATGGGTAGAAGGAATTGCTATCTCGTGCACTTTGGTTTGTTGTTATAGAACATCATTCCCTTTTTCTGTAACTTTCTGCACTGTATAGTGGAATCTCAACGGATCATTTTGCAGGAGTATCTCTTATATTCATAGTGTACATTCACTGTCTGGACTGATTTGTCAAACAACTGACTTTTCTGTTATTTAAGGGTGAAGCCCAATGCCAGCTTTTGCTGGTTCTATATGAAGCCTCTTAAATGTGATCCATAAAATCATGATTTTAATGTACTCATTTATTCTGCAAATAGCCTGTAGTATCTGTAATAATATACATAGAATTGGGTATTTCTAAAGAAAATAGGATGCAAGTCCTCAACAACTAGATAGCAAAGCTGGAATTTTTTAGGAACATTTATTTCTTATGAAAACTAAGCTGATTTAGAATCATAGGTTATATTTTGAAAATATTTTCTGTAATATATATAATATGTAAATTATGTCCAGCAGTAGAACTCAACAGTTCTATGTATAGCTGCTGTATGAGTTCACAGTTGTAAAATAGCTACTGTGGGGCTCCTGGTAGTGTTCCAAAACTGAAAATAGGAATGTGTTATGCTTCTTTGAGAATAAAAGAAACAAAAGATGTATAAATTCCAGGAAGTTTATTCTTTCATAAAGTTTCAGTGCAGGTTAAATACAAGAAAATAATGGAAGGCCCTATGAATTTTGCTAGAAAGAGCATAAAAATATTTGGGAAGACAAGGCACATTTTCATCGTATTTTCACTCTTTTAATCAATATACATCTAAAGAATTCAGCAGAGCTTATCTAGCTTTTATCTCCTATAATTGGAACAAAACCCTTATTTGGACTATAGAACATTGATTGTATGTTTTAGAAGATGAAGTATACAATTGCATTCTCAATAATTACCACAGCACGTTTTTGAACAAGTGTGTGTGTGTGTGTCAGTTGATGAAGAATTAATAGCAGGTTTGTATTTATGGATGCCTTAATTCGGCTTCTCTTAAATTTATGAATTTACGATAATTATGAATAAACATGCAACCTACTAAGGGGATTTTTTTGTGAATTTCTCTAGGATTGTTAAAGTGTCATGTATATGAACTAGTTCAGTGCAATTTTTACAAAAGAAAAGTTTTAAGTTTCAGGTGAATTACTTATGCAGATGTTGAGTTAGATTAAAATATTAGGAAATATAGAAGACAGTTGTACTTGGATGCATACAAATATCTTTCTTCCTTTTAAAATTAGGTGAAAACTCCTGTAATCAACTCAGAGGTCAAAACGTTAGTGCCTGGGATTCCTGGTCATAGTGCAGCTGTGAAATCTTCAGTATGCAGAGATAAAAATAAAAGGAAGACAGATGGCAAAGAGGTAGATTGGTCTCTATTCAGTATTGTACATTTAGTCAATTGTTGGATAGTCAGTCATCTGCTTTGTTATGCTGTTGTGAGTTAACACATACTTTTTTTTTTTTAACATAATTAATTTTCAGACTGTGTTCTGAGAATCTTTCGTTTCCTCAGAGAGGAAAAATAATATATAGATTTTCCTGAAAGACAGTATCCCCATCACTGGAGAATATTAGTTGTATTCTAAGCATCATCGTTTTTCATATAGGCAGTAGCAAAGTTCAAGGGTATAATTTCACATGAACAAAATATGTGCCCCAAAATAGTTTGAGAAACTTCTGTGGCGGTTAAGTTAGTGCCATCCCTTTCTCCGGTGGGAAGAAAGGCATTGCTCATTTCTATCTCTTCTGTGAGTAGGAGAACATTAGAGTCAGTCTGGCTCTAGATCCAGTCATTGTCTAGAATAGGAAATAAAGAATGCAACATACATAAGAAAGGTGCTATGTAGATTAATAACTGAGGAGTCAAAACTGATTTTTCTGTTAATGCTGGAAATGTACTCTGTGGCAGCGAGCCTTGACCCAAACCTCTTTTGTTTGTATTATTGGATTACAAGTCCCATTACTTGTAGCTAGAGTGAACATTGGATAAAATTGTTGTACATTTACTGTTGCTCTTGGTTTTGAGGATTGGGTTGCTAAATTCAGATAGAATCATGTTTAACCTCAATTATCTCTGACTCTGAATGTTACCATGCCCTTAAACCATGAACCATGAGTGATTTGTTTGTTACATGCAATTATAGTGTTATAAAGGAGAGATTTGCACCTCAGTAGGTGACAAACACACAAAAAAGCTAACAATTTTCCTGCTGTGTAATTTTTTTTAATGTCTAGGAGAGTATTGAAGACCGCCTTAGTGCTATGGATATTGATGTGATGAAAGTAAAACAGCCATCTGGAAGCCTTCCACAGACTGATAATTTTGCAGTGCTTTTAGTTCAGGGTTTGGAAAGCAGTGATCCTGTAATTTTAAATGTAAGTATTAAAAGTATTGTGATGATTAGGGAGGATCTCTATAACATCACAAAATTATCATAACTCAAAACTTCATTACATTTAGAGTGTTACAGTATTTTGTTTCTTTATGGCAACACAGTGAGTTATGGAATGGTGACATAGAAATCTTTTAGTAAAAGTATTTTAAAGGATGATTTTACTTCTTACTTGTCTGAATGGCCCAAATTAGACTTAATTTTTCAAAATTATCTATATTGCCACTTTTTTGAAGGAAAATATTGAAACTAAATTTTATATCTACTTTAGGATTAAAAACTTACTATTTAAGGTGATGGGGGAATACTGCTGTGACAAACATGAAATGAAAAAATAAGAAATATGTTCTGGTAAATATTGAATATTTGTGATTATTCATCAGACAGAATGGGCATTGTTTTGCATTTCTTTGTGAAAACTGTTTCACCCTGAAGTGCAACCTTTACCTCTGGAAAGTTTGGGGTGCAGGACTTAGCAGTGTATTGAGTTACAGCCCTCATTTACAGTAAGTGCCCTTCCATGTGAAAACAGAGCTGTGCAGAAATCCATCAGTTTCAAATTTCTTGCTTGATACCATGAGGAAATAACACTTTGTAGTATGAAATTGTTTACATTATTTATTCATTCAATTTCTACGTTCTAATTCAGCATAACTTTTAATTGGAATGCAGGATTTATTTAGTCATGAAACTATGTATAACTCTTCATTATGGTCTCTAAGATGCATGCATATGGTGGCTGCTATATAGAATGGGAATCCTCCCGTTCCCCTCCATTGTTTTTTGAATGCTGCAGTGATAACACTGTGTATATATATTACCTTATTCTCTAACTTTGTTTCATGTTTGGGTGTATATCATCTTGTAAGTTCCCTTCAGAAAATGACAAACTATGGTGCAAAACCTGTGCCATCTGACAGGCACTTATACCTGATTTGTTTTGGTGAGAGGCCTTGATTAAGCAGGCTTGAGAAAATATATCGCTGTACCTTAGAGCATCCCTTTTGGAGCAGTTGTTGAGCACTGCACCTTTAGGTACTAAATTAGCTGTGATAAGCTTGTACATCTGTCCTACAATAGTCAGCTTCTGTCCATGGAACCATCATAGTCATCATCTGCATCTGTGTTCATGGAAAGTTGTCTACTCATCATTGGTTCAGTCCTAAAGGCAACTTGCACCTAGAAGATTGATTAATCAAGGACTCAAGTTAACTGTTGCTTTGGAGGCTGTGGCAGATTCAAAGAAGCATGAATGTTTAAAGGGGCCAGGACACAAAAAAGGGTTGTGGGAGAGAGTGCCTTGATTTGTTAGTTTTGCTGGTGCTATCTCCTTGGTTCTAGGCCAGAATCAGTTTGCTTGCCTCTAGATGACAATGTTATAGACATTCCTCCTAGACTTTGCCTTTTATCTAGCTTGTGATCATAGCTCCTGTAGCCATCTTATACTTTACATAATGAATTCATTGCAGTGGTGGTGGATGCTGAATTTTCTACTTCCTTTAGTTGCTTTTCAGTAGTTGTTATTATTGATGCTTCTGTACTGGCAAGTCCATGCTGGCTTAGAAGGTGGTATCTCTGACTATGGGCAATTCAGTGGTAGTCTGGTACCCCAACAAGCAGAACTCAAACTGTTCCTCTTCTTTGGCTTATTATTAAAATTTGAGAGCATTACTTTAGTGGCAGTATATCTAACTGAACAGGGTAGTGCCACAGAGAATATGCACAACTGCTTTGCTTTGTCAACTCATGAATGGGCACTGAATATCACTGTCTCTCTTGACTCTTTGCTGACTGCAGGAACAGCTTGAAATTGCTCATACCATGCATGTGGAATTGCCTTTTTCTTCCGGTGATCTGAGACATTCCTTTGTTCTTTTGTCTTGAGTTGTTATGATTCTCTAGGGCTGCATTGTATTGCTGTTGCATCCTTGTGGCCATCCAAGGCTTAGTACTGTTTGGCAGTGATTCTTCCTTCTTTCGCAGCTGGTTCTAGTCACTATTGGTAGGTGGAAAGAGACCAGCCAAGACCCATGGTTTGCAGGTTTTTACAAAGGTTAATGGTCTCCCCACTTTTAATCAGTATCTACGTGAAGCCTCTGTGTAAGGTTATCCACTGACTTTGGTTCTGATATCATCAGTACACAAATAATAGCCAGCATTACATCCCAATCCCTGGCCGAAAAAGTGATGCTGTGAAGTTCCTGTCTCAGTGCATAAAGGCTATAAGGATCTGGCAGGGGAGGAACCAGTGTAGGTTCAACCCTGGCAAGCCTGATAGTTTTGGTTTCAGGAGCTGCCAGTCACAGTGATTTACCATCTTCAGTTCTCAACAGAGTGGCACTGCCCTAGGTGCTGGTACATAATTTGAGGGTTGTTTTGGACTCTTGGCTCCTTCTGAATGAAGAAGTGGTAGTCATGGCCAGGAACACTTTTGCACAGATCCATCTTGCATGCCAGTTAAGTTCTTTCCTGGATCAGGAGGCCCTTTTCGTAGTCATTCATGCCCTAGTCACCTTCTGTTTGGACTATTGTAATGCAGTGTACATGGGACTATTCTTGAAGACATTCAGAAGCTACAACTGGTTCAAAATGTAGCCACCCAAGTAGGTGTGGGCACATTTCTCTTTGCCCAAGTAACACTGCTTCTCTGCAGATTGCACTGGCTACAGTTGGCTTCCAGGTGTAATTCAAGGAGATAGTTGGCACCTATAAACCCCATTATAGGTCCTTGTTATCTACAGGACCACCTGGTAAGATTTGGAAAAGTTGCTATACTTCAGGTCCCTTTGTCATCTTGTGGGATTTAATAGATGCCCCTTCTCAGTAGCCATGCATGCCCCATGGAATAATGTCCCCTTTGAGATCCATAAGGCCTCGGCTTTATCAGCACCTGATAGTTTGGATGTCAGTCTTAAACTGATAACAGGGTTCGTTCATTGACCCCCCTCTTTTTTTTTAACAGAAAGTACTTCAAACCAAGAAAGAAGCAGTAATAAAGAAAACAGTAGCCAGAATGCCTGTGTATGCTGTTATTCCCCTACTGCGTGAGGTAAAAAAGTTCATATTAACTACTGTAATTTCAGCTTTTCAGTGGACTTTTAGTAAATTTTAGCTTATTATGCTAATTACATAATAAACAGAACTGGTGTATTTGTGATCCAGTGCATGTAAAAAAAGGTAATCTTTGATTCTCCAAATTTGTGGCTTGCCTTGGCTTGTCAAAGTCAGCCTTGAAAATGAACTTTTAATGGAAATGTATTGATTTGTTTATGTATCACAAGGTAAACATTTCTTCAGTCTGATGCAGTACTTAAGTGAATTAATGGTCATGGGGGGGAGAACCTTACTGTATAGAGTTTATTCAGCTTATATACTTGTTTTATTTTTACTTAGGTTAGAATGATTATTGTTCGCTAAATTGTTATCAACACTATTATGTAGTTACTATATATATTGATTTGTAGCCATTTGGTTCCTGTATATATTGTGTACCTTTGACCATGTATTTGTGTGAAGATCTGCATGGGCATATATGAAGGAAGGAGTACAACAGAAACCCTCCAAGCAGGCCATAGAGGCAGAGGGGTTTGTTCTGATAGATTTCAGCTTATGTTGCATATGGAAAAATACCAGAATGAAGACCTCTGTGAGGACTCAACAAAAAATGTTTCCCACATGAACTGGATAAGGCAATGGCACTCAAACAGAAAAGCACCAAGAGATGTGAGAAAAGTGCTTAACTGAGTCAGGCCAAGACCTGTGGAAGTTATGAAAGTGACTGGGAACTGTACTACTTAGAGCCATCATACAGAAAGAGCTACTAGGCATGGTGTGTTTCCATCTCGCTTCTTCTGGAATTCAGACTCGAGCTGGCCAAATATTCTTTCAGTTGGGATATATACGGATGTATAAGGATTTAAAGGTTTTAGTTTTGGAAGTGAATAGTAGAAGTTGTAATGCTGCATTTATTTCTAAGTATCTTGAGTTTCTGGATAAATAAGAGCTACAAGTAGCACTGGAGGTATTACAGAGAATCTCTTTATGACCCTCCATGTGACACTGTCCAGCCCAGATGTCTAGTATCTATGCATACAATACATTCTCCCATGTGAATGCAGGTTGTTGTTCTGTTTTTGAGTGGTTGTCCCTACACATATAGATGAGATTGCCCTTTGATACTCAGGAAGTTAATTAAAACTGAATTTATGTATATTACTCAGATCAATGAAGAACACCTAGTCTCGCTCTTCCTGGTGGTCAGATATGGGTGCAGGAGTCAAACAAGAGGTTATACTGAAAACAGGACTGTATGTCAGAATGCTTTTGTTAATTTGTATCAGTTCAGATCAATTTCACATACACCTACTCTCCTTCATGAAAATAAACACAGGATTCAATCTGGTATTTCAACTTGAATGGGTATCAAATATCATTCCACTACTTCAGTAAATATACTACATTGCAAGCAACCATGTTGAATAAGCCTATTGTTAAACCAAAGGTCTTATTTTGTGAAATGTAAAAGAACTTGGTTTGAATCTTTATTCAGTGATGTCAGTCAGAGAAATAGGATCTGATTTGCGTTATGTGGTCTAGTAATTATACTTTTCTAGAAATAATAACAACAATAATAGCATGTATTGCCAACTGTTTGTTCTAATACTGCATAAAGTAACAACATTCACAATGAAAAGTTTAGTCACTACAAATATTTTGAAATAGTTTAAACTATTTGAGAATTCATATATGTGCAGTTTGTTGAAGAACATAGTTTACATCAAAATCTCAGTGCACCCACAGTCCTTACTTTCTCTACTTCTGTTTTAGCTCACAAAAAGGCTGCAAGGTCATCCATACAGGTAAGCATAGGTTACCTAAAACTCTATCTGATAATATACAGTGGCCTTTTCCGGTTATAGCGGGTACTGTTTAAAATATTGAGCTGGATTGTTCATTTGAAAGCTATGTGGAATAGGGTGCTGTTTGTGTATCTGATTTGTTTGTTTAATTTAAAATTATACAACTAGTACATGGTTCAAAGATGACTTGGAAAAAATCCTTTAGAATTTGTGGAAGCACAGCACTTCTTTGCTGTTCATTAAACCAGCTCAACTTTATAGACTTCTACAGGAGCCTGAAAAAAAACATGCCACTGTCACATTTACTTTAATAAGCGGATTTCTTAAGCTGTAAAGCTGCATTGGGTTATATAACTACAGATTAGCGCTGTAACACTTGCTTTGTACCTGAGATTCTAAAAGATCAAAAAAGATATACTGAATTCATACAGTCCTATGTTGTATACTCATCTGTTCTGGAAAAATAAAGGTGACCCTAAAGCTCTTTTTGTTGATGCCTGTGAACTGTATAGCTGATAAAGGTTATGCCACAGGTTCTTTTATCTATAATACTATTTATCACTGATGCATGACAGTTTATTCATCCGTGTATCCTTGTATATGCTGCTTAAATTTATCATCTTGACATATGAAGTATTTTTTATACTTTTTTCTGTCCCTTGTCAATAACTGAAGGTCTTTGCTGTTATTTTCTAGTGCTTCACAAATGGTTCGATGGTTAAAGCCTGTTTTGACTCTGCATGCATCCTACCTTTCAACAGTAAGTGCTGTGATACCCAGGGCTTTTTTCCCATTTTGGTTTCATCTAGTGCAGTGTTGTCCAAACTTGGCCACTTTAAGATGAGTGGACTTCAACTCCCAGAATTCCCCAGCCAGCATGGGAGTTGAA